CAAGAAGCAAGTCACGACGGAGGGGGAAACTGGATCAACTACCCAAGCATTACGATGGGTGACCACCGACAAGTCTCAAGGGATCCCGTGTGACCACTGATTTGAATAGCTTAGATTTCACTAGATTTAAGAACTATTTGAATGACTAAGATTTCACCTACGCAGAAAAGTGTGCCTACGTGACTAAACTCAACTCGTGTGTCATCTCCACTTGTTCATAAGAGAGGAATGGCGAAGACTCCCACACACACATGGACCACACACACTCAATCACATCATACTAAAGAGCAAGTACACATCAACATATTGCTAACTTTCTTTTGTTCCATTTGTTTGAATCTTCTCACAAACACATATACCTATAAATAGTAACAACAACACAAGTTTACTTGCTTGACTAGATAAACTCTCACATTTGGGTCCTTTTGGGTTTTAGCTACTACTAGTATATTACTATGCCACCCCGGTCCGAAAAGGAAAGGTAACTGTTATGAACACCACAATTCATTCTCATCCTCATGCTAGCATGGCTATGGAAGCTGAATGGCGGGTCACTGTCCACAAGATGCATCTTCTGTCGCACCATGATAGGGCTCCACCTTTCTTGACGTTCACTTTCTCCTTGGACTATTCCATCATCTTCTCCACCAGTTGTAAGAAAAGAATATCAAGAAAACAAGGTGGTTTTATCAGCACACACACATTAGCTGTGTTAAACTTAGCAATTTGATTGTTAAAAGAAGATGGCAAGTGTAGGAGGATTGCCACGCGATGGTGGGAAAATGTACATAACATTTTTTTTCTTGGTCAACAAAATTGTCTTCTGCAACAAAACAATGATAGAGTTTAGTAACGGTAAGAACTGAAAAGAAGAAGAAAACTAAATTTTCTCATGGTTTTCACTGGTCAATAGCTCCCTACCTACTCAGCTTTCAGACGAGCTTTCTCCCCCTTGAGGTGGTTTAGTTCAGCTTCAAGCTCCATAGTATAAGCCTGTAGGATTATCGAAGATGGAGTGTGTATGTGTCACCGACCTTGTTACCACTATTGCAGAAATGGTATTGCATAAAAACCAAGAATTTTGGCAGCAATGTAAGTACCTGTTCTTAGCACGCGACAGTTCGGCTGACTCATGATTCTTGATCATGCGGCGGTTGGGATGCTTGATGCTCCTCTTGGAGGACTGATCCTTCGAGGCGTCGATGTTCTCCATCATCGCTCCGTCGCCCATGTAGTTCGTCATGTCAACCTGCGTCATGGCGCTCCTCCCATCCGACGACCCGGGGCTCACAATGCCCACCCCATCTTGAGGAGGTGGTGGCGGAGGCACCACAGCCGTCCCTGCGTACCCATTGTGGATGAACCCCATGTCTTCGCCCATCACCGAGAACATGACGTTGACCGGTGCCATTGGGTACATAATTGGGCCATGCTACTTCCCCTACTATGTGTGGTTCATCTTTCCATGGACCATGCCGACCGGCGCAAGATCCCCGGACCACGCTGGCCTTAACAAGGAACTGCTACATCGTCGTCTCTCTGACCGTCCCTTGCCGGTCGTTGGTCGCAAGCGAACCACGATTCCCCATGAAATGTAAGTTTGCGTGGTTGCACTACCTACTAGCAAGTTGGTGTCCAATAGGGAGTCGCCATCTAACACAATGTGGGCCAAGAATCATTGTATTACATTTCTTTTTTGGATTTCCCATATTCGTATTTCCACTCTCACTCTTAAACAATTGTCCCCCCACTAATGTACTTCACATGCATGCATGACAGTGTGGCACAATCACTTTTTATTCTCCCACACAATAAAAAAATCCAACCATTTCTTCCTCCTTAGCTAATTTAAAACATCCATATCTTTTAAACCATATATTCATTTGTGAAAAAATTGAACTCCGTGAGCCAAAACCTTTAAAATGAGATCAAACTTGAATATTTTTCAACCATATTTGAATTTGAACATATATTTCACAATGATATGCTACAATTTCACTTTCCGTAGTGGCTATTGCACAATTCAGAACCTACATTTTACTTTTCACGGGCTTGCTTAAAAAACATGTAATTAAATTGCACATTTTTCAAATAACATATTTCACACTTTTGTAATAAACTATTACACATGTTCAAACAATCAGTTTCACAAACGATACAACAGAATTCACTTTCTGTAGTTACTCTATCATAATTCACAACCTACAGTTCACTTCAGACTGGCTTGGTTCAGGAAAATAACATATATTTCAATTACATATGTCTGAAAAAACTTATTTCACTCCTTTGAAATAATCACTCTCACATTTATACATTGTAATTTCACATTTGTGGTTAATATTTTCACAATTCAGAACCTACTTTTACATTACACTAACGTGTTTCACAAAAATCACATATATTTTAGTTACACATTCTTTTTAAAAATATTTCACTCTTTTGAAATAATCAGTTTCACATTTATACATCATAATTTCACATTTTGTGGTTAGTATTTCACAATACAGAACCTACATTCTTACATTTCATTGCTATGTTTCACAAAAATCACATCTATTTTAGTTACACATTTTTGAAAAGAAAACATATTCCACTCTTTCAAAAAATCAATTTCACATTTTACGGTTACTACTCCCTTCGTCCCAAAATAAGTGACGCAACTTTGTACTAAGTTTAGTACTAAGTTAGGGTAAAGTTGAGTTACTTATTTTGGGAAGGAGGGATTATTTCACAATTCAGAACCTACATGTTACATTTCACAGGTCTGTTTCACAAAAATCACATATATTTCAATTGCATGTTTAAAAAAACATTTCCACTCTTTTGAAATAAACGGTTACACATTTCAAGAAGTTATAGGTTTCTTGATGGTTTTACATATTTCTGTGGAAATAGTGTTTAAATTTTTTTCTAGTTATATAGGTTTGGTTCACATACGGAATGTGAAATGTTCAAATTTAAATATGTTCAAATGTATTCAAGATCGGTCTTGTCTAAAAGGCCTTGGCGCCAGGAGTTCATATATATATATATATATATATATATATATATATATATATATATATATTCAAATAGGAACTTATGGTTTAAAAGATAGGGGTAATTTGATTTAGTAAATGTGAAATAAAAGGTTGGATTTAACCAGAGAGAGCACTGTCATATTTCAGCCATACATCCATGCCAAAGACAAATAATGGGGACTACTAGCTATAGTTTGATGATGTGTACTAGTGTATAACAGAAAATGATAATAAAGTGGTCCCACCTCCACGCATCTTGACACGAGCAATCAATGGCACGGATTTGTCGCCGCTAGGTAGCATCACCGTGCAAAAAGACTTTATGCCATTCCCCACCGTTCAATGGACAGGAAGCTGCGGTGAGGACGCACGACCTGAGGCTGGGCATGCACCAGTCGGGGCTCCCTGTTGATGTCGGCCCACACCCCCTTCACCGTCTTCCGGCACAGCGGGGAGGCAAGGAGAAGGACCCCTGCCGGCATAGGCCACTTCCTCATGCATCCCCGCCACCTCCGCTTCTTCTAGCACTCACCATAGGAGCCTCCTCCATGCCCACCAAGCCACCGACGGTAGCCGCTTGGAACTCCTCGACATTCCATATGTTTCTCATGAACTCTTCCATGTTCATGGACCTAAAATTGTGCCCGCCTCGCACACCGAGTAATGCAGCTCGTCCAGCGTCAGCACGAAGATCGAAGACTGCGGCATCAGCGCAACCGTTTGCTCCTCACCTTCGAGAATGCACAGGTGTGAGGTGACTTCTTCCTTGCATAACTACACGTCCTTGCTCATCTCTGATGCCATCCTTTCTCTACACTATGGTCTCTACGTGTGCTCGTTTGTGGTGTGTGGTTCAGTCTTGTGCGCCGCAGCACCCTATTTATAACATGCCGCATGCAAGAGATAAGCATAAGTTAAAGCATCAGATAGCTATTAAATTCACGTGATTGATGAAAAAGGTGAGCTATAAATAGATAGATACATAGTAGATAGTTTCTCTCGTACTGGATAGATAGGGTGTTGCCAAAGCGCCAAACGTTCACAACATGCAGCTACCGCAGTGTCGCAATAGGGTGCCACCCTTCTTGGTGTTGACGTTCTCCTTGGACTATTCCATCATTTTCTCCACCAGCTATAAAAAATCTAGACCAAAAGGTATTACCATCAGCACGCTTACATTAACTATTTTAAGACATGGCATTTATGTTGCTGCAACCAACTAGCAAATCATGTTAAGTGTGGGAGGGTTTTTTGTTCTTAGAAAAGAAGGATCACCCCTGGCCTCTGATGCACACAGCCGTATGAGTATGAGGGATGATGATGGCTATCATGGTTGTCCAACAAGGGAGCGCAACTGAAGGCTAGTCAGACCATTAAGCAAGAAGTCACGACAGAGGAGGAAAGTAGATCGACTACCCAAGCATTATGATGGGTGACCGCCGACAAATCTCAAGGGATCCCGCATGACCACTGATTTGAATATCTCAAATTTCACTAGATTTAAGAACTATTTCAATGACTAAAATTTCACCGACGTGGAAAAGTGTGCCTATGTGACTAAACTCAACTCGTGTGTCATCTCCACTTATTCACAAGAGAGGAATGGCGAAGGCTCCCATACACACACACATGGACCACACACATTGCATCGCATTGTATTAAAGCGCAAGTACATATCAACATATTCCTAACTTTCGTTTGTTCCATTTGTTTGAAGCTTGTGAAAAACACATATACATATAAACAATAACAACAACACAAGTTCACTTGCTTGACTAGATAAACACTCACATTTGGGTCCTTCTGGGTTTTAGCTACTACTAGTATATTACTATACCACCCCGCTCCAAAAAGGAAAGGTAACTATTATCAACACCACAATTCATTCTCATCCTCATGCTAGCATGGCTATGGAAGCTGAATGGCGGGTCACCATTCACAAGATGCAGCTTCTGTTCCACCTTGATAGGGCTCCACCTTTCAGATGGTCACTTTCTCCTTGGACTGTTCCATCATCTTCTCCACCAGCTGTAACAAAAAAATCAAGAACACAAGGTAGTTTTATCAGCATGCACACATTAACAGTGTTAAACTTAGCAATTAGGTTGTTACAAGCAGTTGGCAAGTGTAGGAGGATTGCCACGCGATGGTGGGAAAATGTACGTAACACTTTCTTCTTGGTCAACAAAATTGTCTTCTGCAACAAAACAATGATAGAGTTTAGTAACGATAAGAACTAAAAATAATAAGAAAACTAATTTTTCTCATGGTTTTCACTGGTCAACAGCTCCCTACCTCCTCATCTTTTAGACAAGCCTTCTCCTCCTTGAGGTAGTCTAGTTCAGCTTCAAGATCCACAATATAAGCCTGTAGGATTATCAAAGAGGGAGTGTGTACGTGTCACCGACCTTGTTACCACTATTGCAGAAATGGCATTGCATAAAAACCAACAATTTTGGCAACAATGTAAGTGCCTGTTCCTAGCACGCGATCGTGCGGCTGACTTGTGATTCTTGATCACGCGGCGGTGGCGATGGTTGATGCTCCTCTTGGAGGAATGATCCTCCAGAGCGTGGACGTTTTCCATCATCGCTCCATCACCGATGTAGTTCGTCATGTCAGCCTGCGTCATGGCGCTCCACCCGTCTGATGACCCGGGGCTCACAATACCCACCCCACCTTGAGGAGGTGGTGGCGGAGGCACCACAGCCATCCTTGCGTACCCGTTGGGGCCGAACCCCATAACATCGCCCATCATAGAGAACTTGTCGTTGGCCAGTGCCATCAGGTACATCATTGGGCCAGGTTGCTGCCCCTGCTGCACTTGGTTCATCTGTCCATGGACCATGACGGCCGGCACATGCGCTTGTCCACCGGCGCAAGATCCACGGACCACGCTGCTACAACATTGTCTCTCCGAGCGTCCCCTGCAGGTCATTGGCCGCAACCGAACCGCCATTCCCCACGAAATGCAAAATTGTGCGATTGCGCTACCTACTAGCTAGGTGATGTCCAATAGGGAGCCGCCATCTAACACTATGTGGGCCAAGTATCTTTGTATTACATTTCTTTTCTGGATTTCCCATCTACGTATTTCCACTCTCACTCTTCAACAATTGGCCCCCACTAATGTACTTCACATGCATGCATGACAGAGTGTGGCACAATCATTTTTCTTCTCCCATACAATAAATCCAACCATTTCTTCTTTTAAAATATCCATATCTTTTAAACCGTATATTCATTTGTGAAACATTTTTATATTTGAACACCGTGCGCCAAAACCTTTAAAATGAAATCAAACTTGAATATTTTTAACCATATTTAAATTTGAACATATATTTCACATGTCAAAATAATCTATTTCAGAATGATACACTACAATTTCACTTTCTATAGTGGCTATTGCACAATTCAGAACTTACATTTCAATTTTCACGGGCTTGCGTCACAAAAAAACACCTAAGTAAATTGCACATTTTTCAAATAACATATTTCACTCTTTTGAAATAAACTATTACACATGTTCAAACGACACAATAGAATTTCACTTTCTGTAGTTACTCTTTCATCTTTCAGAACCTACATTTCACTTCAGACTAGCTTGGTTCAGGAAAATCACATATATTTCAATTACATATGTTTGCAAAAACTTATTTCACTCTTTTGAAATAATCAGTTTCATATTTATACATTGTAATTTCACATTTGTGGTTAATATTTTCACAATTCAGAACCTACTTTTTAAATTTCACTAACATGTTTCACAAAAATCACATATATTTTAGTTACACATTTTTTAAAACATATTTCACTCTTTTGAAATAATTATTTTCACATTTATACATTATAATTTCACATTTTGTTGTTAGTATTTCACAATTCAGAACCTACATTTTTACATTTCAGTGTCATGTTTCACAAAAATCACATCTATTTTAGTTACACATTTTTGATAAAAAACATATTACACTCTTTCAAAAAATCAATTTCACATTTGGTGGTTACTACTCCCTTTGTCCCAAAATAAGTGCCGCAACTTTGTACTAACTTTAGTACTAAGTTACTGTAAAGTTGAGTCAATTATTTTGGGACGGAGGGATTATTTCACAATTCAGAACCTACATGTTACATTTCACAGGTCAGTTTCAAGAAAATCACATATATTTCAATTGCATGTTTTTCAAATAAAATGTTAACTCATTTCAAAAAGTCATTGGTTTCTAGTAAAATATGTCGCTTTTACATATTTCTATGCAAATAGTGTGTTAAAAAATTTCTAGTTATATAGTTTTGGTTCACATATGGATGTGAAATGTTGAAATTTAAATGTGTTCGAATGTATTTAAGATCGGTCTTGTCTAAAAGGCCTTGGCGCCAGGAGTTCAAATAAAAAAATCAAATAGGTACTTATGGTTTAAAAGATAGGGACGATTTAATTTAGTAAAGGTGAAATAAAATGTTGGGTTTAACCAGAGAGAGAGAGAGATAGAGAGAGAGAGAGAGGAAGAGACAAATAATGGGGACCACTAGCTATATTTTGATTGTGTATTCTAGTGTATAGCAGAAAATGAGAATAAAGTGGTCCCACCTACACGCATCTTGACGTGAGCAATCAATGGCGGATTTGTTGCCGCTAGGTAGCATCACCGCGCAAAAAGACTTTTTGACATTCCCCACCATTGGCTGGATAGGAAGCTACGATGAGGGAGGCGCGGCCTAAGGCTGGGCATGCACCGGTTGGGGATCCCTGTTGATCTTAGCCCGCACCTCCTCTACCATCTTCTAGCACAGCGACGGAGGCAGGGAGAAGGACCCCTGCCAGAATAGGCCAATTCCTCCTGCATCCTCACCACCTCCGCTTCCACCAGCACCAACCATAGGAGCCTCATCCATGCCCACCAAGCCACCGCCAGTAGCCGCTTGGAACTCCTCGACATTCCTTATGTTGCTCATGAACTCGTCAATGTTCATGGACCCAAAATCGCACCCCGCCTCGCACATCGAGTATTGCAGATCATCCAACGTCAGCGCGAAGATGGAAGACTGCAGCATCGATGCAACCGTCTGCTCCTCACCTTCGAGAATGCATGGGCGTGAGGTGACTTCTTCCTCGGAGAACTTGATGTCCTTGCTTAGCTCTGACGTCATCCTATCTCTCCACTATGGTCTCTATGTACCCTCTTGCTTGTGGTGTGTGCTTCAGTCTTGTGCGCCGCACCACCCTATTTATAGTCTGCCGTAGCAAGAGATAAGCATTAATTAAAGCATTAGATAGCTATTAAATTAATGTGATTGATGAAAAAGGTTTGAGCTATAGATAGATAGATATAGAGTTGATATATAGTTCGTCTTGTGCTGGATAGATAGGGTGCTGCCAAAGCACCATACATTCACAAGATGCAGCTACCGGAGCGCCGCGACAGGGCGCCACCCTTCTTGGTGTTGACGTTCTCCTTGGACTATTCCATCATCTTCTCCACCAGCTATGAAAAATCAAGACCAAAAGGTGTTACGATCTGCATACTCACATTAACTGTTTTAAGAATTGGCAATTATGTTGTTGCAAGCAATTGGCAAATTATGGTAAGTGTGGGAGGGTTTTTTTCTTAGAAAAGAAGGATCACCCCTGGCCTCTGATGCACACAGCCATAAGAGTATGAGGGTTGATGATGGCTATCATGGTCGGCCAACGAGGGAGCACAACTGAAGGCTAGTTGGACCATCAAGTAGGAAGTCACAACGGAGGGGGAAAGTGGATCGACTACCCAAGCATTGCGATGGGTGACCACCGACAAGTCTCAAGGGATCCCACGTGACCACTGATTTGAATAGCTTAAACTGCACTAGATTTAAGAACTATTTGAATGACTAAAATTTCACCGCTGAGGCAAAGTGTGCCTACGTGACTAAACTCAACTCGTGTGTCGTCTCCACTTCTTCAGAAGAGAGGAAAGGCGAAGACTCCCCCCCCCCCACACACACATGGACCACACACATTGCATCGCATCATATTAAAGCGCAAGTACAGATCAACATATTCCTAACATTCTTTTGTTCCATTTGTTTGAAAAGCTGCTGACAAACACATATACCTATAAACAATAACAACAATACAAGTTCACTTGCTTGACTAGATAAACACTCTCATTTCGATCCTTATGGGTCTTAGCTACTACTAATATATTACTATACCACGGCGGCTCAAATCCAAGGCCAAGCATCCCAATGGCTTCACACATTAATTTCAAATCATCATTGTCACAAGCATTGAATGGTATAGCTACAAATGCAATACAAACAAAATTAGTAAGTGACAAGTCAACCATGGTCAAACATTGCAAAGAAGTAAATAATAAATGGCAGTGTGGGTAAAAATAAATATTTAATTACCATGATTGTACACCTGTCTAGCCACATATTGTTGCACTTCATATGTTCTCCTTCTCCAAAGTTCCTTGTTTATCCTCTGTTGATGCAAGGCTTCAGCTTGAGTCAATTTAGGATCAATAGGCCGTGCCCACTTGTCAATGGGACCTAACTTGTGTGGCTCCGCGCTTCCGATACAAGTAGCTTCGTCATCTCCAACGTGAGAAATGCTCACTCTTTGTCTAAGCTCTTGCTCACGGGCAGTCTTTTCTCTCCTCTTATTAGATGCGTCCTCAAGAAATTTCTTGCACCTGTCTTTAGCTTCCTGAGAGTTTTTCTTGCATTTGAGCACAACATTACCAAGATGAGCTACATGCTGCTTGTGTCGATAAACACCTCCACTGCTCACGTGGTTACAGAACATACACTTCACTTTATCCTTGTTGGAAGCATCAGCTAGACTCCCATACTCCCATCCCACATCATCAGACTTTCTCTTAAGGACATTCTATTCCTGCAATGCTGATGTTGCATTTGTCTCGGACATCCTACAAATAATCAAATACACAACAAATAGTAACTCAGTAATCTGCATCGCTGATGCTAAAAAAATGGACCAGATCTACCAAAGTCTAGACCACAAGTAGGCATAAAAGGAGAGAATAATCAAAGCAAGAATGTAATAAAGTATGTGAGTACGTGTATATGTATGTCCAGATCCTAGAATCGAAGCAATATAAATTATTAAATTATAATATCATAATATATGCAGAGCAATATAAAGTAGGCACCAAGCTGTATATCGACAGATTCCAAGAAACTTTCTGTTGTGAAGTAAATAAATAATACAAAACTACCATGGAGGAAACCAAAAGAACATATTTTTTGCATTACAAGCTAATAAATGTGTTGCATTCGGAAATTATTTTGTCTTGCAATGCTCGATGCCTTGCTGGCCAATCATAAAAGATGATGTCATAACAGCCTTCCACGCTTTTGGCAGGATGGATTTCCACGGCCCCACATCCATTAATCAGGCTCTTATTACTCTCCTACCCAAGATGCCAGTAGCGGTTGAGATCCACGAGTTCCGGCCCATAAGCTTGATTCATAGTTTCCCGAAGCTTGTTGGAAAGGTGTTAGCAACACGTATGGCCCCGGACGTCCCAGAGTTGGTCGGAACACACCAAGGTGCTTTCATAAAAGGTAGATGGTTACACAAAAATTACATGATGGTGCAAGGGTTGGCAAGGAAGCTTCACGCGGTGAGGCAAGAGGCAGTGATACTTAAGCTTGACATTACAAAAACCTTCGACACCGTGTGTCGGTGTCAAAACTGGCGGATCTCGGGTAGGGGGTCCCGAACTGTGCGTCTAAGGCTAATGGTAACAGGAGGTGGGGGACATGATGTTTACCCAGGTTCGGGCCCTCTCGATGGAGGTAATACCCTACTTCCTGCTTGATTGATCTTGATGATATGAGTATTACAAGAGTTGATCTAGCACGAGATCGTAGAGGCTAAACTCTAGAAGCTAGCCTATGATTATGATTTCCGTTGTCCTACGGACTAAACCCTCTGGTTTATATAGA